CGGCCGTGACGAGTGGAGTGGGAGCGGCGGGGATATTATGGAGATCGATTCGTCGCTCTACGGATACAGTAGCACTGCGGACTGTGACACCCGGGTCTAGCGGTTGCACGGAGAGGGTCGTGAAGATTATGTCGGAAGGACCTACAGGTAGAGTCGGGGTGGAAACGTTGTAACGTACGACGGGTGCACGAGGCTTGGCTGTTTGGTGGAGCAGCGCATGCGAGGATGGTGATGGGGCGCTGTATGCGTGCAAGGATGGCAAGTCGTATCGGACAAGGCCGAGGTCGTAATAGCGGACGATGCGGGAGCCGACACCAGGGATGTACACATGATCGAGGACTTGAGGGCGAAAGGGTGTGAGACGAACAGTTTGGATGGTTCATGACAGATGACAGATTGGGGGACTCGGACAGGCGAGTACGGAGGGTGCGGGAGGACATACCTGCCTCTAATCGCCAGAACACTCTGTAGTCCTGAAAGTTGGCTGTGCTGAAGCCGGGCGTTCGTTTTGGGAGGGTGAGCTTGAAGGGGAATTCCATCTCCGCGACGTCTGCATACTCCTTCTCTGGCGGTTTCACCCAGAGGACGTCTGTGTGATCGACGACGAGGGTCGAGCGGATGGCACGACTTCGAGTGAGACGCGACTGGTAGCATCGTACAGAGATGGAGAGGGCGCGCGCGGGGATTGGTCTGCCATCCTCGTCCAGTTTTGTGCGCACGACTGGGGGACGGTCAGCACGGCGTCGGGGATGCGGTGTGAGGCGGGAGGGGACGTACCGCCCTCAACGCGGACTGGAGTGAGGCCGAGGTAGCCCTGGTGGGGGAAGAAGCGGTTGCCAGAGTTGCCCCTTGTGGTGGAGAGGACGAGGTGGACCATGGGGGAGGGGAAGAGACGTCGGGCTGGCGGGGCGGGATATAAGTACTGGACGGGGGGAGGGCATGGCGATGGAATTCAGAGTGGATTCGGATTCGGACTCGGATTCGGTGATCCAACAAACTGTCCATCCAGCCCAAGAATCAGAGAATACCAATCAAGAATTCTCCACGCCCGCCGTTTCCATCCTTCTTCGTCTCCCCATTATTATTTATGTAACTATTTCCCCCGATCACCCCTTCCCTTTCCGGGCATCCTTCCACCCGGCCCACGCCCCGCCACCCGCCACATCCTCCCAGCGACTCGCACAGCGCCCCGTCCTCTCCCTCTCCCAGCTGCTGCCCGTCGTCGCCAGCCATGCCCTCCTCGCTCTATGTCCCCATCCTCATCGCTGGGATGCTCATCACGGTCTGTCTCTCCATCGAGGTCTCGCTTTTCTCGTGCTGACCGCTCGCAGGGCTCCAGCAATTCCCTCTGGAGTAAATGGCAGGTTCGTCACCCCTCGCACGCATACACCCAAGCTCCTGACGTGGACGCCACGCACAGGACATGCAATGCGTAGAGAACTGCGATGGCGACCCGGCACATCGTGTCTTGTATGAGCAGCCAGTGTGGCAAACGCTCCAAATGTTCCGTACGTCCCCCTCTCATCCTCGCGCGCACACGTACCCAACCCTGACCCGCTGTCACCGTCCGTGTAAGTCGGAGAAATGCTCTGTAGGTGTCCCGTCGCACTCGCCCGTGACGGCTCTCATCACTCTGCGTATGCACGTGTAATCTATCAGGCTTCCTCCCTGTCATCTTCGCCTGGATCCGCTCGAGACGCCAGTCGCAGCCCTTGCGCCTTCCTTCAGACTCTGAAGAAGAGCCTGCTGCCGGCGCAAAGGCCGAAGTCCCTCAGCAGCACCTTCATGGCTGGAAGGTTTTGCTTTTATGGTTTCCCGCCGCCTGCGATCTCACCGGTACTACGGTACGCCCGCTGCATACGCTTTCTCGAACCGTTCTTCTCATGCTAGTCACCTGCGTATGCGTATGCGTCTGCTATGCCTCTTCCGTCACAAAACCCACTTACAGTTGATGAATGTCGGCCTGCTTTATACCCCGGTCTCGATCTATCAGATGACCCGTGGCGCGCTCGTCCTCTTCGTCGGCGTTCTCTCCGTCATATTCCTCCGCAGGCGTCTCTGGCTCTACCAGTTGAGTTCCACCATGCTTCCCACCCATTCTGCTACATGCAGCATAAAGCCCCCCTCGATCCGACTCATGCAGAAGAGTCTTGCTCACTCTTGTTCCAAAGATGGATATCCCTTATCACAGTTATGGCAGGCGTATCGCTCGTCGGGCTGAGTGGTTCTTTGGTTAAGGATGCTGTGAAAGAGTCCGCAGTCAACTTGTTTGACGACGTCCCTTCGCCGGAACCCATCGAAGAGCCGGAAGTCACGAAGGTCCTCGTCGGTACGTATCACTTCCGCGCGCGCAGCCGCTTCGCAGTCATCTGACCGTGATCTTTAGGCGTGTTCTTCATCCTCTTCGCCCAAGTCTTGTACGTGTTTCTTAAGCCTCTTCTTTTCCCTTCGGCACCCTTCCCTGGGGTATGCTATCATCTCTCCGGAGGCCTTGCTAACGTACGCTTCTCTTCCGGCGCATACGTTCTGCCGATACTCGAATGTACGCAGTACGGCTGCCCAGTTTGTTGTCGAAGGTCCGTAATTCCCGTTTATCCATCCTAAGTATACCCAGCCTCTGATACAATGTCCCTCTCACGCTGCGCAAACAGAGAAGATTATGGGCCGCTACTCCGTGGCGCCGCTCGTCGCAGTAGGCTTTGAGGGGTTGTTCGGCGCGCTCAGCATCGTTCTCGCCATGCCGCTTCTCGCGCGCTATTCCTCCGTGTCTCCATTCTTTGACCTGCCGCGCGGCTGGCACCAGATGATTGACACGCCCGCGGTGCTGTGGTCCGGTGTGGTCATCGCCTTCTCCATCGCGCTCTTTAACTTCTTCGGCCTGAGCGTGACGCGCCATGTCAGCGCGACGGCACGCAGCCTGACGGATACGTGCAGGACGCTCAGCATCTGGATCGTCAGTCTCGGGCTCGGCTGGGAGGTGCTCGTGTGGCCCGTCTCCCTGTTGCAGGTTGCTGGTTTTGCACTCCTGGTGTACGTCATTCCGTTACACATTGATATCTGTGTGATATTCACGCGCTTTACGGTTGTAGATACGGAACGGTCAGTCTCGTTGCCTCGGGTTTGCTCGGCCGCCCCGCGTGTCGTAACCATCTGACTTCTCATCATACGTCCAACAGTTCCTCTTCAACCATCTCGTCACCCCACCGCGCTTCCTGCGCCCGACCTCCGGCCACCCCCCGGCGGCCCCGACCGAGGACGAGGGCGAGACCCAGACGCTGCTCGCCGAGGAGGCGCTGGAGGACACCGCGGTGCTCCCTTCCGAACTCGGGCGCAGCGGGTTCGATGTCATCCCACCCGAGGAGCACGCGAACCACGCCCACGCGCATTCGCGCGCGCCCACGAACCCCGTGCTCGCTGCTGGCGATGGCCAGGTCAGGGTCTAAGCGTGCGGGCCTCTCAGGCCCTGCTGCCCCGGAATCCGGTCAGATGCAGGGCAGCTGTATAGCTACCGGAATTCGACAACTCCTGCTGTTTCTCTTTACATTTTGCTCGTCTATGATAATGCTGGAGGCTGGTCCTAATGGTTCTCTGGGTACAAACTGTAACTATTCACGCTCACGTACGCACCTATCACATCGCTGTTCGGCTATGCACCTCGGTCTAGGCCTTCACAACCACACGTAAGTACACACATACCCTGCCCCGAGCACGCCGAGTTCGCGGAAGCCAACCGACGAAGGATTTCGGAATTGGAGTCTCGTGAGCAAAGCACTCGGGGGCCCAGCGACGCCCGCGATAATTGGGGGCATCGCGCGCATCAGATCTGGCGTGGACGTGTCGGTACGCGATGATCATCGCCGCATCGGGCCGCGTCCATCTCGCTTAAGCGATCTGGAGCTTGAGCTTGATTACCGGTCGTCCGCTCTCTTCGGCGCCATTCTCCTGGTCAGTCCTCGACGCGGCTTCCTCGAGCCCGCGGTGGCGTCTGACGTTTCCGATCGGGACTTCCACCTCTTGCAATCCTCGACCACGTCGTCCGCTGCTCGGGTCTCTGCGCGGGCCCCGCACGCGACGTCACGCAGCGAGGGAAGGGTTCGCCGACGGATCCGGCTCATGGACAAAGTGCTCGATCTCGTCTGGGTATCCTCCTCGTCCGTCCGGTTGTCTGTGGTGCGCGTGGCGGATCCTCTTGGCCCATGCACCAACGATCGGCCGCGGAAGCAGCAAGATATTAGGCGACGCACGGCGTGCGCAGAACAATTGAGAGCGGAGATCGATCACGAGGATGCGCACCCTGGTCAATGGTATGTGCGGCGTCGCACCCCGCTGCACGCGCACGTCGAACCTGCACAACTTCCTCTTTCGCCGAGTGCGTTGCTCGACTGGGCGAAGTCCCACCCGCCGGCGTCATGACGTGCGGCAAGCACGCGTGCAAGCTACCACAAGGAAGGCTCCTGCGGACCGGTCCACAAGGCTGTCGGGCAGGTTTCTATCAGCCTTTCCATGTGCGGGTCACCGCCTGGGGTCGATGCATGGAAGACGTCACCCGTACATTGATCCAGGCGCGCGCAATTTTCGACGCCGCGGGTCGCAACTGGGTCGCACGTGTTGGCGGAGCTGCGAGCTTGAGCCCGACGCTGAGGGTCGCATGCACATGGCCGCGAGAAGTCTCAGTAAACGCCTTGTTCTCTCCATTTGAGCGCCACTCCTTTGTCGATGACCGCACGCGTCGCATTGGTGTGCTTCTCCGTCGACTCGGAACTAACCGTGCTGTAGGGACGGATTTACATGCGAGCATGCTCCGGCGAGTCTGTCTGCATGTTTGCATATATGTGAGTACTATTTCGAGGAACACAGTGTAAAATGACTCGACGAAGCATCTTCAGATCCTCCGCTCATGATCTGGTTGGTTGTAAAGCGTCGGTTTCCGTCAACCTGAGCACAGTACGATGTAAAGGCAACTGCAGGAAGGTGGCAGCAGCATGGGATTGAGCAAAAAGCTGCCCCGGTGAGGCTCGAACTCACGACCTTCCGATTGCCGAAGAAGTAACAGTCGGACGCTGTAACCAACTCAGCCACGGGGCAGTTGTTAAAAAATGTATCAATACCAGTCCTGACGAGTCTCGTTCGGCCTGGCCTGTTCTGAAGGCGTTCCAGGGAGCATGGCCAAGTTCTTGCCGCCCAAGGAGCTCTACTATTGCAGTCATTACAAGTCATTACAATGGTTCCTAACGCGCAAGTATATATATATCTATCCCAGCCATCTAGTCCACCTTCAGCTTTGACGGTGGGGAGACGAATGTCGCCTGTGGACGCGGACAGGTAAGTTGTGGGCCTCCTGGCGAAGCTCTACTGCGGTGGCACTCACGGTTATAAACTTGAGCACCTCGTCGATGAGCAACACAGGTGCGCTGAGGTATAGTACAGCCTTCCACTCGGTCCAGTTGAGGGGAGTGATGGCGAAGAGCGACTGTAATGAGTCATCGACGTCAAGCCTCCTCGACACCGAAGACACGAGGTAGTACTTACGGTGAAGAAGGGGATATAGAGGATAGCAACATGGAGCGCCATACTCAGTGCGATGGCGCCCACGAGGTAGGGGTTCCTCCACGGCGGCAATCTCAGCAGACTCTCGTTCTCGGACAGGGAGTTCATCGCGTTAAACATCTCGACGGTGACCAGGATCGACAAGCTCATCGTGGTCGCTCTCTGCGCCATGATGTTTGTGAACATCTCGCAGCCGATCTCGGGGAACAGCGCTGAGCACTGGTGGAAATGCGTCTGTAACAGAAGTCAGCCAACCTCGTTGCTAATCGGCGTATGGTAAGCGTACCAGCTGGTAGAAGGAGATCTGGGGTCCGCCGGTGTAGAACATGAACCACCACGCGTAGCCCGCGACAGTCGCTACGCCCACGTATACGCCAATGACCAGGTAGCGCAAGAACAGCCACTTGGTGACGATGGGCTCGCGGCTGTCACGCGGGGGTACACGCATGATGCTGTGGTCGGGCGGGTTGAAGCCCAGCGCGGTCGCGGGCAGACTGTCAGTGACGAGGTTGACCCAAAGGAGTTGCACCGGGATCAACGCTTCAGGCATGCCGAGGAGAACCGTCAAGAAGATGCTAACGACCTCGCCAATGTTCGAGGAGACTTTATGCGCGTTAGCAATCAACAACGCGGCAAGGCATTCTGGCGACTTACTGAGGTAGCGGATGAACTGCTTCGTGTTGTTGTAAATCAACCTGCCTTCCTCAACCGCCTGCTCGATCGTAGCGAAGTTCGAGTCGGTAAGAACCATATCGGCAGCGAGCTTGGCGACGTCAGTTCCGCTGCCCATTGCGACACCAATATCTGCTTTCTTGAGCGCCGGCGCATCGTTGACACCATCACCAGTCTGACCACAGCGTCAGTACCTCACCGCAGAACCCATCATGCCCACTCACCATAGCGACGACGAGGCCCTGGCTCTGCAAGAGGTCTACCAGCTGGCTCTTGTGATTCGGCTCCGTGCGGCTGAACAAACTGGCGCGCATCACGGCCTTGAGCTTCTCCTCGGGACTGAGCTCGTCGAACTCGCGTCCGGTGTAGCTCTTCCCGGTGAGATCCTCATGCTCGTCGAAGATGCCGATCTGCCTGCAAATCGTCTCCGCGGTGCCCTTGTTATCGCCGGTAATGCAGATGACGCGGATGCCGGCGGCCTTGCACTGTGCCACCGCGCCGCGGACCTCGGGACGTGGCGGGTCCAGCATGCCGACGAGCGAGACGAAGGTGAGGTCCTTCTCGAAGCGCGAGTAGCCCGCCGTCGTCTCGGACTTGTAGTGCTCGGGGTCGAGCGGCTGATTCTCGGCATAGGCGAGCGCGAGGGTGCGAAGACCCTGGGAGCCGTAAGCAATGGTAGTTTGCAGGAGCGCGTCGCGAAGCTGGGGGATGAGGGGAATAGTGCGACCATTGACAAGGACGGACGTGCAGCGCTCGAGGATCGACTCGGGGGCGCCCTTCGCGAACAAAACCCCAGTGCCGTTCCTCTGGGCAAGGACGGACATCATCTTGCGGTCCCGGGAGAATTCAAAAGTCAACAGACGAGGGATCGTGCGCTCGTAGAACTCATTCACAGCATTAGCACGGGAGGCAGGGTCTAGGTATGGCAGATTCTTCGCAAGCTCCGGGTCAGGGCAGGGGAGCTTCTCCGCGAGGACCTTCAATGCGGCTTCGGTAGGCTCGCCAAGGTTGCTGTACGTCTTCTTGTCCTGTTTGCGAGCACCTATTGAGCGACGCACCATGCGGATCGGAGTTATGACCTACCGCATTGTAGACGATCTTTGAGTCGTTACAGATCGCGCTGATCTCAGCCAAGCGTTGCAGTGGCTCTGAGCGGACTTCAGCACCGGCTTTACCATCAGCAGGGCTGACCGACCCTTGAGGCGCGAAGGTCGTGCCCTCGACAAGGAACTCCCGAGGAGTGCCGGAGATGTCGACAACAATGAACTACCGAAATCGCGTCAGTACTGCGGTGCAATTCGGGAGACGAAAGAACCGACCTTCGAGACGCTCATCTGGTTAGTGGTCAAGGTGCCAGTCTTGTCGGAGCAGATGACGTTCGTACATCCGAGAGTCTCCACGCTGGGCAGGTTACGAACGATAGCGTTCTTCTGAGCCATCTTCTTCGTCCCAAGGGCAAGGCACGCAGTAATCACAGCAGCGAGTCCCTCAGGAATGGCAGCGACCGCGAGAGCTACGGCAATCTTGAAGTAGTAGACTGCGCCCTTGAGCACGCCGTGGTGCGCCGGGTCCCAGAAGTGCCGGATGTTGACAAGCCAGACGAGGATGCAGATGACTGTGATGACCTTCGCGAGCATGTCGCCGAAATCATCGAGCTTCCGCTTCAGAGGAGTCTTCTCGCTAATCTGCGACGATATTGACTTGTGGATGTCACCGATAGCAGTCTTTTGTCCAGTGAAGACTACAACGGCGGTACCCTTGCCGTTGACGACGGTCGTGCCCTGAATAATCAAGAACGTTAGACGTGGCATGTGAGAGCCTAGCACGGAGATCGACTTACGGAGAATAGCATGTTAATCATGTCCTGCTTCACAGCCCTGGCATCGGGAACAACGTCAACGACCTTGCCGACGCTGGTACTTTCTCCAGTGAGAATAGCCTGGTCGACGCGGAGGCTCGTAGAAGCGACGGAGAGTAGCCTACAGTCCGCGGGGATCTTGTCACCGACAGCGATAGATATAATATCACCAGGAACGAGTTCAGACGCGTGTATGCGGGTCCAGAGTCCATCACGAAGGACCTTCGCCTCGTCCGGAGAGTATTCCTTGAGAGCCTGTAGGAGTGTCAGTGGTGTTAGACGCACCCTCCCGTATTCCGTATTGATACACTGACGTCAATAGCCTTCTCCGCGTTGGTCTCCTGGATCACACCGACAGTCGCGTTCGCAACGAGGATGAGCAGAATGACGAGGGGTTCGACAAAGGCGCTCCACCAGCTCGAGCCCTCTGAATCTTCAAACAAGGCCAGAATGAAGGACACGACCGCAGACGCCAGAAGGATGAGCACCAACTGGTCCTTGAACTGTTCGAGGATGAGCTCCCATAGAGGTGTTGGGGGATCCTCCGGGAGCTCTACAAAGCACGCAGGTCATGAAAACCAAGAGCTTCGCGGCACGCTGCAAAAGTTACGCACCGTTCTTCCCGTAGAGTTCAGCATGTTTAGCAGCAGCCTCCGACGTCAGACCTTTTGTTTGGTCGACGGCGTAGAACTGCAGCACTTCCTCTCCGGTCTTCGTCCATGGAGCGTCCATGTCGACAGGCCTTGAGCTCGGTATGCAAAAAGCAGCGAGCAGCGGAGACGAGTGAGTGGAGGATTGAAGTGGTGGAGGCCTGGATTCTGGAGAAGTCGCTCGGCTAAGAGCGCTGGTATAAATGCAGTTACCGCGCTAAGCTGACGTGGCGATTCCCTCCGGATCCTGGGCACACTTTCCCGGGCTGTCGCCGGGGTGGAAAAGAGGCAGTTCAAAGACTGGTTTGTTTCGTGTGCTTGGGAATGTTTTGGTGTAGGCCTACGAGGCCATCTGACACAGCCTGTAACTCTGCTCTGCGAAGAACACGAACGGCTAACATGCCTGTGAGTGTCTTGCAGGCACGGAGAGGAGAGCATCCAGAAGCGCCTATAGCACATCGTATGCGTGTGAGCTTTCCAACGCGGCAGGCTACTTCGACGTCCGAAAGGCGCATTGTACATCCTCGGTGCCTGCACTACACCTCACACGCAAGGGAAGAAGTAGCAACGAGGTCTTTCTGGAGATTTCCTCGTCGAGACAAGCAGAGAGCTGTCATTGGGTCAAAAGAGCCGATACAGCCATGTGCGGGTCACGTAGCCTGAAGGCGTGAACAGCCTTTACCCGCGGTGCTGTATAAGCTGAGCAAAGTGACCTGCCTCTGGGCGGGTTCCGGGAATTTTCGGGCTTTGGAAGGTATACAGTAGAGAGCTGCAGCCAATTAATGCGAGCTGGCTCCGTTCTGAGAGGGAGGACGGGCGTCTGTAGAGCAAGCACGGCGGTCGGGGATATCCGAGGGAGACTAACGCCGTCGGCGTTGTTCTGACCGTTACTGGGGTGCGTCACAGCCTGCATCCGCCGGCGGTCTCTTTCGACTCGAGGCCTGCCTCTTGATTCCGACGTCCACGACCTCCTGCGTGCTCACACTCCGCCGCCATGGGAAATAGTACCTCCTCCGGCCGCGGGCACCATGAAGAGATGGTCGATTTTGGCTATCTCACCCCGCAGGGCATATACACGGGTCCCCGGGATTGGAATCAGGCTGTTGTAAGCCAACTCATCGTCGAACGCAAGCTCGCTCCCTTCTATCGGCCGTTGGAGGACTACGACGATTCCTGGGACGACGAACAAATTCTTGCCGCCCGCAAGCAGCCTCCAGAGACCGAGGATGGAGAGTCGTCGCGTGCCGAGTCAATCTCTTTGAGCGTTTCGAGCCGAGGACACCAGAAACGGCCGAGTGCTGCCAAAGAGCCTACGCGTCATCCCGAGGCTGCGATATACCGAGGAGCAGTAGAGTGTC